ATCTAGAGCTTCAGGACGTTTCCAATCTGAATTCGTCAAGCTGTGAGACCATTTGTTACAGCCCAAGCAACTATCCAGACGCAAGACCAGGTTATAGTCAAAAACATTTCTCCATTATAATAATATGCCAAAATGTTGGATTTCATCAGTCATTAATGAAAATGAGAAATTACACTTTGTCTATACGATGCATTACTGAATTGTTTGGAAAGTTTTGATTACAAGCTAGCAACAGGTACCCTCATTTTGTAACTCAAAGAAACTTCCATAAACATTGTTATGGATGCATATAGATTATGAATAAAGGAAAATTTATATAAATTCTAACCAATAACGAACTAATACTGTGACAGAGACTTTACAGAAGACACAGGCAATATTGCAGCATCTCAAAGATCAAATAGATAAAGGACTTCCCATAATTGGAGCTGGTGCAGGGACTGGTATATCAGCAAAGTTTGAAGAAGCAGGTGGTGTTGATTTAATAGTACTGTACAACTCAGGACGCTTTCGCATGGCAGGAAGGGGCTCTTTGGCTGGTTTGTTGCCTTTTGCTGATGCAAATGCTATAGTAATTGACATGGCCAATGAAGTCTTACCAGTAAGTTTCTAAATGTTTCTTAAAGAGAAGTGAAACCAAATTTTCGTTTCACCTGTCTGAATTATAGAGGTGTTGCCTTTTGTTGACTGCCATTGTTTAAGCTTAGAAAATGGTAACGAAGTATGAACTCATTTTGAAACTTGGTTGGAGAAGGAATTTAGGAAATCAAAATTTGATGTGCGATGCTTATAAATAAGAGAGGGTGCCAAACAGCCTCTCTGTAATTTCATGTTTCGTATATCATCAGACTTGGATTTCTGTTTAGAACTGGGGTCTGAATAAGCAGAAACATACAAAAGATTAAGTCGATATATATGCTCTCCAGTTTTAGGTGTGCAGAATGTCCTATGTTCAAGTCTCTACCATAGCAGTTCTTATAAATTAGGGTGGACTACAGAACATGTAATCAAGTTTGACCTCTGTGCTGAAGTTGGTTCTACCCCCTCTCATGTAATCTGTCTCAGTAGACATCTAAGTTGGCAATGCATTGTTTTTATTTTTTATCAAGGTTATTGTTGCCAACTTTAAACCTAACTAAAAGAATTTATAGGTTGTCAAGGAGGTGCCGGTTCTTGCTGGTGTATGTGGAACTGATCCTTTCCGCCGAATGGATTACTTCTTAAAGCAGGTGGAATCGATTGGGTTCTGTGGGGTGCAAAATTTTCCAACTGTAGGGCTTTTTGATGGTAATTTTAGACAAAATCTTGAAGAGACAGGAATGGGATATGGGTATGACTTAGACTATGTTACCGAGAGAGTCCCATGCTAAGTTTTTGTCAGATTCTTCTCTTATTAGTCTATCTATTGAATCTAATCACCATGTTTTTTCAACCCTACTAATGGCCAGACTGGAGGTCCAGATGATTGAAAAGGCACATAAAATGGGTCTCTTGACAACTCCATATGCTTTTAATGAAAGTGAAGCCAGGGAAATGGCAAAAGTTGGTGCTGATATTATTGTCGCTCATATGGGGCTGACTACATCTGGATCTATTGGTGCAAAAACAGCTGTCTCATTAGATGAAAGTGTGTTTCAGGTGCAAGCTATAGCAGATGCTGCCCATAAGATCAACCCTAATGTCATTGTGCTGTGTCATGGAGGTACTCTTTGCTGGTGGTTTTAAACTCGTGGCATGTTATTTTCAGAGTTTACTGAATGTTTCATTTTACTTGTAAGGTAACCCCAACGTTGACTTACAGGCTTATAAAGATCTCTTAATGGCTTTGCAGGCCCCATTTCTGGACCTAAAGAAGCAGAATTTACATTGAGTAGAACCAAGGGAGTTCATGGATTCTATGGTGCATCTAGCATGGAGAGACTGCCTGTGGAACAAGCCATTACCAGCACAATGAAACAGTACAAATCAATTTCCATCAAATGAATGCCAAGGCGGGGTGTCTATTGTAGGCCACTATCATGTCCTCCTTCAGCGTTACCCTTTCTGTCCCTGCCTGGACAATGAGAAGAAATATGTGTAGCCTGATATGAACCTGATATGAAGTTCAAAATCTGCCCGCCCTTTTTCGCTATGTTCGAGTCTTGTAGAATTGCATGACCCCCTATTCTTTTTTAAAACATGTGCATATGCTGAAATGTAATGCGAGATATTGATGAGCTTGGAGTTTTCTTTGGCTAGGCATTTTATTTTGATTAAGCAAGGACCCCAGACCATTTTACCAGGTCATTCCTTTCTCCTTTCTCTTAATTTCGTGCTAATAATATTGCAAGTGGTGCTTCAATCCTCTTCTCAACAGTCCAGGCGAAGCAGAAATACTACATTTGTAACATTTGAACCACAAGAAGGCTAACCATATCAGATTTTTGAAGTGCTTTCTGCTGTTTGGTGATAAGAGTATCGAAAATTGAAAGAAAAAAAGAACCCCATTTAAGATACTGATACTGAGATTTCTCATATACGGTCACCCGATTGGTGTTTCATATTTTGGTGGCAAATTATGATACCATTGGATGTGTGACATTCATTTGCTGTCTCCACTAGAAGCCAACAATTCAAGCGTGCTAGTTCTTCGATTCAACAACAATTCAATTCTTTGATATTTGTGGCCTGGCCTCTCCTATCCAGGCTTGTGCCTTTCGGTGAGCTCATGGTCAGGCTTCTACCCTCGGATGGGCTAGGCCTTTTGTATGATTGTCTTGATGGGTTCGTGGGGACCCGAACCCATTTTGAAGACTACTAAATTGTGAACAAGCTAGATCCTTCAAACTTGTGCCATCCGTTCTGGAAAAGCATATAGTATGCTTGGCCCAAAGAGATTTGATTTTGCCGCCGATGAAAAATATAACAAGTACAAGAATATAAAAATCTATTGAAGATGGTGTTTAGTAAAAAATTTCATTTGAAATTTTATTATTGAATTTTCTAGTGTATTTTAGTTTTTTCGTTGAGAGATTTTCGACCACTTAAATAGATCAGAAATTGACTATTAGAAGGTAAAATAAACCTAGAATTCCAAGTTAAATGAAAAAAAAACATAAAATCTTAAGCTAAAAATCCAAATAAATAAATAATAATAAATAGTTTAAATAGTATCTTCTAAGCTTAATTTGAAAGTCATTTGAACTTCGTTTAGCTACCATGAACTGAAACACTATAAAAATAAACCTGCAGAATTTCTTGATCGAGTATGATTTAATAGTAAAATAATAAATTATATGATTTTTTATTGGATTGTTTATGAAGCACAAACAAGATTATTATTGGGTTTACCTTTGTCCCATTAGTCTATAAACAAGACTTACGATTGCAATGGAATAATAAATAGATTTGTTGGGTGCCCCTAGGCATGTGATTACCCACAGTTTCAAAATGAAGCTTCTCCAGCATTTATTATTATTATTATTATTATTTCAGGATAATTGGTTATTAGAATAACATCATGGCGGTTGTTGACCTCTTGATTAAAATAGAAGCTACCTTGTACTCCAAACAATTAATTAAAAAAATAAAATAACAGAGATACCGAAGTTGTCTTGGAGAAAGACATCATCAGCTGGGGATTGTAAAGCTACCCTATAATGTCTCTTCTTCTTCTTCGTTTTTTGCTTCTTATATTTGTTTAATCACTTTATATATATATATATATATATTCTTGAAAGTTGTGTCATTCATTAATCCGGATGTAGAAAAACATGGGGGAACATAGGATGCTTGGGCCGCAAGAGATTTGATTTGGACGCTGATGAAAAGAATACAAGAATACAACAAGTACAAGAATATAAAAATCTATGGAAAATGGTGTTTAGTCAAAATATTTATTTGAAATTATATTACTGAATTTTTTGGTCTATTTTAGTCTTTTCTTTAAAAGGTTTATAACTGCTTAAATAAATCAAAAATTAACTTTTACAAGGTGAAAAAACTAGTCAAATTAAAAAAAAACAATATAAAATCTAAAGCTAAGAATCCAAAAGGATTAAATAAAAATAATAATAAAATTGATTTAAATAGCATCTTCTAAGTATAAATTAACTGAACCTCATTTGGTTACAATGAACTGATCCATTATAAAAATAAGTTTAAGTTTGCAGAGTCTTCTTATCAAATTTAAATATAATTTAACAGTCAGATTTTTTTTAATTAGATTGTTCATCTAGCATAAACAAGGTTTAACCTTGTCCCCTAATCTACAAACAAGCCTGCAAAGCTTTCTACATCATCCAATAATAATAGATCCACAGCTTAGCTTATTGCTTGAAACTTGAAACTATCGTATTCTTCAAACTCGTTTACATAAGATCTGCTCACCAGCTTTGAATCCCATGCGCATTCAATAGCCCATTAATCTTTAACCTTGGACCTTGTCTCGTAATCTATGTCTTAAGCCTGGCATTTTGGATGTAAATCTTGAACCAACATCATTCATATGCAGAAATCACGCAGGATTGATCGGGTAGAAAATCCCATGTTTTCCACGGATGGGATTGAAACTGTATTTGATCAAAATATTAATTTTTTTTTTATTTTATATTTTTATATATTTTCATATTAGTCTTCCAACCATTAACAGCTTTTATATTTTTATATATTTTTAAATAAAAAATACTTTAAAGGAAGCTTCATATTAGTCTTCCAACCATTAACAGCTTCTGATGATTCCTAACTATGATTCACTTGGATCCCCATCTTGTCATTCCTAAAATTAGATTCTTTTGTTAACGCCCAGGACGGATAATATTTAATAGTTTCCGAAAACATTCATGCACTAATGTTTGATGGAGAAACAAAATTAAGGGAACAACTAAAGATTGGGACCCAATTGAAAAAAATTAAGAGTACGTAGTTGGGGAGTAATCTAACCAGGTTTGCTATTTTTGAGTGGGGGGAATCTACCAAAGCCACTCTCCTTGTCTTTGTAAGAGTTTCGAAAACTTACAGAGACAACATGGACCATTCCCGTGAGGAAGAACCTAGGATGGTTCGATGCAATTGTAATAATACTTTTCCATCAGAAGTCGTCGATTCCTTCATGATCACGAAAAAAGAAGAAGAATGACTCATCTGTTCCCTACTAGCTCATACACCTATATATAGTTAATTTCTTCCCCAATATCTTATCATCCATTCTTGTTTTCCTCACCACATTTTGCTAGCTAGCAAGTTTCACATATATTAATTTTGAAAGCACCAACCAAACTACACCTATCGAAATCCAGAAATCAAATTTGCAGCTCCAGACAATACCATACATAATAATACCATGGACATCTCTTCATCGACTGAAACCAAACTAGCCACCGCAAAGGTAGTTCTATCCACCGCAGCCTCTGTCGCGGCTACGGCGATGCTTGCTAGATCTATAGCTCAAGACTTGCTGCCTCATGAATTCCAAGCCTACTTTTTCTGTAAGATTCGCAGTTTCTTCGGCCGTTTCTCATCCCAACTCACTATGGTTGTTGATGAATTCGATGGATACACCTACAACGAAATATACGGGGCAGCAGAGACTTATTTGGGCAGCAAGATCTCTCCATCAACACAGAGACTCAAAGTAAGCAAACCGGAGAAAGAAGACGAGTTCACTGTCAAAATGGACCGCAATGAAGAAATCGTCGATATCTTTCAAGATGTTAAATTCAAGTGGGTTCTTGTGTGTACCCATGTTGATTCTAAAAACCACTTCAACTCTTTCGATCATACCTCTACACTACGATCAGAAGTGCGGTCTTACGAAGTCAGTTTCCCTAAGGAACACAAAGAAATGGTTCTTGAATCTTATTTTCCTTATATTGTCAAAGTAGCAAAATCCATGGAGCAGGAGAAGAAGACATTGAAGATTTTCACAGTTGACTACCAGCACATGTATGGAAATTTAGCTGATGCGTGGAAACCTGTGAATCTTGATCATCCTGCAACATTTGATACTATTGCTCTGGACACAAAAGATAAAGATAAAATCCTGAAAGATCTTGAAAGGTTTGTTAAGAGGAGAGATTATTACAGGAAGGTTGGTAAGGCTTGGAAAAGAGGGTATTTGTTGTATGGACCACCAGGGACTGGTAAATCTAGCTTGATTGCTGCAATGGCGAATTATCTGAATTTTGATATCTATGACTTGGAGTTGACCGAGCTGAATTGCAACTCCGAGCTCAGGAAAGTGCTTGTTGCTACTGCAAATCGGTCAATATTGGTGGTGGAGGATATAGATTGCACCATTGAATTGCAGGATCGAATCGCTGAAGAAAGGGCTACGCCAGGTCTTGGTTATCCTCCACAAAAACAGGTTAGGCTTCAGTTTTTCCTTTTTTCATTGTCCAGTTAATTTCCTAGAGTATCGTGCTTCTTTTTTTATCCCTCTAAACCAGGTTTGAATTCGTTTATTATTGGCTGCTTTAATAGATCTCGATAATTGATTTGTTTAGTTTACTGTAAGTGATTTGGCTTAGAGAGGATCAGATTAATGAAAAATTAGAAATTAATTTGTTTATCCGTTTACGCATATCGGAAAAATCGAATTCATGGCTCTACTTATTTGGAGCTTGAACAGTTTTGGTAGCCATGCACAGAATATCATAGAAATCGGAAGCAACTAGGTGGGTTCCCAGGAAGTTTCAAAGCACATGGATGGACCAGAATACGTCCTACATTTCAACAGAAAATGAGCAGGGTTGCTGACATTGTCACATAGCAACCATAAATTCTCGAGAAAGACATCTTTTTTGATACCTCAATTTTGATTCATCGATTTAAGATTTTACTCGAGTGAAGTAAAAAAAAACTGTTTTGTAATAATTTTAATTATCTTTTTTTTTAAGTCAAATATTAAACTAACCGAATCATTTTGAATCAATTCTTTACTCACAAACAAGTTTTAGACAAGATCTACTCCCAGTGATTTTAATGTTCTAGGTCATAGCAAAAACTACCCACCAACTCACACTTTTATGACATGAAATTTTCCAAGATGGCATGAAATCTTACTAATTATTTGACCGGGTCATCTATGACCCTTTCTCAATCACTAGAGCCACAAATTTCCAGTCTCCATGACCCTTCAAAAGGGCAGCCATCACTTCTTACTATCTGGTCACCTTTGATGTTGCTAGTCAATGAATTGCAATTTAACTCATAATAACGCTCCCTGACTAAATCTTGTTTGATCATAAACATTATTAAATTTATATATGTGATTTATCTGCCTTGCACAGGTGACATTGTCAGGATTGCTAAATTTTATCGATGGATTATGGTCTAGCTGTGGCGACGAGCGAATTATAGTGTTCACCACAAATCACATAGAAAAGCTAGACCCGGCATTGTTGCGTCCAGGACGTATGGATGTTCATGTTCACATGTCTTATTGCACTCCTTGCGGATTTAAATTTCTTGCTGCTAATTATCTTGGAATTAAAGATCATGTTTTATTTGAAGAGATCGAGGAGCTGATCAAAACAGCAGAAGTGACCCCAGCAGAAGTGGCAGAACAGCTTATGAGGAGTGATGAGCTTGAGACCGTGCTCAAAGAGCTAATTGAATTTCTCGTAGATAAAAAGAAGGAAAATGAGGAAAAAGCCAAGGCTAAAATGATTGAGAAAGAATCAAGAGTTGATAAAGAGGAGGAAAATGTGGAAAAAATTGAAAACGAGGAAGAAAATTGAGTGTGACGTCTAAGGCAATATTGAAGTTGATGATGAAAAACAAAAATATTGAATGACTCTCTGTACTAAGCATGCATATGAACTAATCACTTTAAAACTTCTTTTATAATATCATGTACTCTCTTTACTACTAGCTACATACCTTAGCCTTCCTTCGGAGTCTTGTAGTTTTGTTTCTTGTATCATGCAATGTTTTATTAATTTTCTAAAGCATCAATCATATTAAACAAGATTTCATATGAATTACAGACAAAAATATATTCTATGAAGATATAATTTAGATCCTTTAGATCTCTTGCAATTTTAATTTTTAGTTAATGCCTTTATTTCTTCAAATTAATTAATTAATTAAAGAGCATGCATATTATATATCCGAATCAATTGTAAGAATATCAAACATTATTCAGAAAAATTCAACACGTGAATATAATGAGCAGACAGATTTTTCAGTTTCTACAAGATTTTTTTTTATACAGAGTATAAATCGATCTATACGGGGGTTTTGAAGACATCTTACTATGAATAAACTAGATTTTCAAAAGTCTTACTTTTAAATTTTTTTAGTTTAGTATAGAGCTTTCCTTCCTCATCTCTGTCTATTTATACAAATATAACTTTTCCTTTTCTAGTTAGCCAAGTCTTTTTGGCACTAACATTTAATGAAAAATGGAAAAATTCAACCCATAAATATAATGAAAAATTGGATGAAAATACACACCCTTATTTAATCTTCAAAGATTGATAATGTAAAACAAGAAAAACACAAATAAAGCTTTATTTGATTTTTTATGAATTATTTGATAATCGGAATTGATCAAATTCAACCAAAAGATTTTATATTTTATTAATTATAGAGGTTTTTTGTTTTGCTAGATAATAATACTTAATAATAGCTACATAAATAAAAGTTACTACTCTAATAATAATTCGATTCATTAAGGAAATAATTAGATAACAAAAGAACAAATAATGTCTAAACTATAATTGAAAAGAAATAATAAGAGTTAACAAAAATAAGGATGAATCTCTAAATTAAAAATATAGGTTGGGTTATATAAATGCATCTTCTCTATAAATAGGAACTAAAGCGTATTTTTTTCCAAGAAATCTATAAAATTGCCAAAACATTTCATCAATAGAGAGGATTAAGAAATAATTTCATTCATCACATTAGGAGCTAAAATAAAATCTATAACTATATGCATTATATATGTTATAGATTGGAAGTGGTAAATTCCAGGAACGTTAATTAATGTAGTTGATAAAATTATTTAATATCATTTAAAATGACCTAAAATCAAATCAAACTCATAATTTGGAATGATTAAAATTAAGGGAAAAGGAGATCTTTCTTCATATAGGCTAAAATTATTACTTGAAATTGCATTTCGGTTTGAATTTTTTATGGTTATTTTCTGGAGGTTTAGAATGATTCCATCGAAAGGGAAAATTACTGCTTAAATATCTCAACAAAACCCATAAGAAATTGGTTTTCGACATGAAAAATTTAGGCCATTGTGTTGTTCGGTCCCGTAACCTTATAGCCCAATAGGGAAAGGGTCTTTCTGGCTTGGGCTCTCATTCTTTCGTATAATTATTTTATTTATTTATTTTGTGATGGGGATCAGGTACTTTTGCTATAAAAAAATATAAAATTAAAAATATTTAAAATCAAGACAAAAATTTACAATAAACAATAGGCTTGACCAAGAACATTGCTGGAGGGACATTCCTTTCTCAAGTCGAATGGTAGCAAATTATGGTCTTCTGAATGTCTTTCTTTATGGTCTTACTGATAAATACATTATCTGAGGCAAGGATAATATGAAGGAAAGAAAGAAGTTTTATCGGCATGCAATCAAATTTGTTTAAACTACCGAATCCGAAAAGATTGATGATGAGTGATAAAGGTTATTTTAAAAAGATTTTTTTGTTTGAAAATATATTAATATAATTTTTTAATTTTTAATATTAACATACTAAAATTTTTAAAAATACATGAATTTAATGTTTTTTTAAGTAAATCACACTAAAAAATAAAAGTTATCACACTATCTGAAATAGACCAGCAGTGCCTTGAAATGTTCATCTTCTTCGAGAAATACATCACTTTTTAATCATAAACATAATAAAAAAATATTTTAAACAGTCTCATCTATTTTATTATGCAGATAACAATAGATTTTTAATTATACGGTACTTTAATTTATGTGGTAGAGTATGCACATTTTTTTTCTTTTATCTTTTGTTGTAAGAAAATTTTCAATATGAAATATCAGGAACACTACTATGAATTCATGAAAATTTCAGATTAGACTTAACTTTCCATAGGCTACAATCTTAGACTTGTGAAGTAATTGAGCTTGACAGGGTTGGCGAACTAACAAAACAATGGACTTGACCAGTACCTTGAGTGACTTAGATTTGTCACTAATCGAATAGGTTGGCAGGGTGATCTTCAGAGGCTTTCTTGCAAGACAAATCCCCTATTAGAATAGGAAACTATCCAATGCTTAATTTGGAATGACAAGAACGACACAAATTAAGCCAAATGGAGATCGTTCTTCATATAAGATAGTATTGAGCAATGTTCTAAAAACAAAATGTAAGGAAATTAGAATTGCCTCTCTTTTTTTTCCAACAAGAGGTTAAAAGCAATTGGAGTTGCACAACAATCTTTTATGTTATATTCCAATTCAGAAAAGCTATCTTCTGTTCAAAATTGTTACTTTGAAAGTGCATTTCGATTTGAATTTTGATGGTTGTTTTCGGAAAGTGAACGGTGATCCAAGAGAAAATTGGTGCATAATTATCCCAACAAAAACCACAATAAATTGGTTTTTGACATGAACATATGGGCCCATTGTGCTATTTGGTATTTTATTTGCAGGTGCTTTCTGGCCAAGTGGTTTCACCTTCATTGATGTCTTTGAAATTCAGAAAAGCACTTGCAAATGCATCCAAAAAAAGCTCATATTATATGCGTATGGTGGTAAAAATTGGAGTGGCCAAAGGTTGCTAGTGACAAAGCAAACGACATGCTAATTGAAATGTATCCACATACACTGGTCCCTCGCAGTCCCCATCTCTTTTCCAATGCACTCTCTATCAAAAAATCGAAGTGTATTCATTTTTTTAATTTAGGAATCTCTCTTTTGATATCATCAGCTTGTCACCATATGATATCACCTTTTTTATATGTCATGTTCGTACATTAATTATTGCATTATCTAATTCGTCCAGACCGCCTTCCTGCTGAGAAGGATCATGATGAAAAATTAGAAAACCAAGTTTCGCATGATGTATTGCAGACTCAATCATGGACTCAATTGATGTGGCAAAGCTAGAGAAGAATACCAGATACGTAAATAATTCATAAATTCTAACAAAAACAACGGTAATTTTATTAGTTAATTTTATAGATATAATATCACCTCCTCGGTAATAAAAAATAGTATAAATTATATTTTAAGATGTTATTTAATATTTAAAATTTTTAAGTTAAATTATTTTTTTAATATAAAATTAAAGTTTTAATGATTAAATGGTTATGGATTTGAATCTCAATATTTTTATTTATTTAATAAAAATTAAATATAAAATAGCTTGAAACTGTGTAATTTTCAAATTTAAAATTTTTTTGCTTCAAGTAATGTATTAAAACTTAATATAAATTATATTTTAGATCTCTTCTAATAACTTAAATTTTTAAGTTGAATTAGTTCTTTAATAACTAACCAAGATGTAGAATAAATTCAAATTAAACTATACTATTTTAATTATTTTCCTAATTAATATTTTATTTAATTACTTTTTCTATTTATATTTAGATTTTTTTGGTTCGATGAGTTTTAATCTTTATAACGAGTGTATTATTTTTTTCATCAAATTATTGAATAAATTTTTTTACAAAAAGGAAATATAAATTAAAAAAAAAACATAGTTTTTATCAACGCTATACAAACCAGCATTCTCTTCTTCCGAATCCAAATTGGTATCATGATGCATCATATCGTAATAGTGTGAAACCGAATTGTTCTTAATTATGAAAGAATAACAAGTTCAAAGCTTCACCATGATAGCCTCAAACATCAAACTGGTTGGCTCCGAGAAACAGCAGCTTGGAATGTAGTAAATAGTGGAGGAAGACTTCCGGTTACAAGGCAATAAAAAAGGACGCCTTTCGTTGTCCAAAATTTATAATCAAGCATGAAACAGGACTTGAACAGGGACTTCTGCCGAGGGTGCCGAGGATCAATCCTTTCCAACACCGAAAGGCACCAAACCATGGTCCATAGGAACGGCTTTCAAGAAAGTTGTCTTCATGATAAGCAAAGACTTTTGGCAAATAAAAATAATAATAAAGGAGTCTTTATTTAGTCATGCACTCCAAGTATTGTTTAAACTGTTGGATCAATTATCCATAGAGATTATAAATATTATAAGTTAAGGCATGTTCGCTTTGTCTTCCAAGAATGCATCACTCTTGAACATTTATATTATAAAAATAATAATTTGGACCATCACGGTTTTGCACGTAATTGGTAAGTGACCACAAAAGAGTACTTTAGCTTGTTTCGACTTAGAATATTGATAACTTACTATATCACGATTCGTAAATTTAGAAAAGCATTCCTTTTTAATATTATTTTTTGTAAAGTTATTATTTTTCGTAAATACAATATTTATTTAATATATTACTCTTTAATCATGATTTTTCTATATATAACGTTTAAAACTATAAAAACAATAACACAAATTATGTTATTTCAGTATAACTTTCTCAAACCATGTTATTTAATCAAAATTTTAAATTCTATGAACTAAGAGCCCAAAATAGGCCTCAACAAATATTTGCAGATCGAATATTCCTTCAGAGCTTGTGTAAGTACAGTAAATCAGTATACTTGCTGAGCATAAAGAAGCAAGGAATCGTGAGCTTTGCTTTACCTGTCCCGGTGACGTGAAAGTCCAAACGCACAAATCATGGAACGCAGCCTTCTTTGATGGAAAAAGTTGCAGCAATCATGCAAGGTTCAGAAGAACTTTGTACAAAAGTAAATATTGGAGACTTATTTCTACCGTTCTTTTCAATATGGAAACAAAAAGGATTAGACATCAAATTCATATTGCATGCGCACGCGTGAGGCTTTGTA